ATATATTTAAACGCAGCGTATTTAAATAAATCGAATGTTAAACGAAAATTATATGTTAATGAAAATAATCGTTTAACAGTAAGTGGAAAATGTAAAAAGTTTAATTTTCCGCTACATTTTATTATTTCGAATTATCATTATACTAATTTATAATAAATATCAGATCAACTTGTTTTTGATAAATTCTTTAAGTTCTCGAATATTCGTATTTCTTAAACGTTGCATCTTTTATATATAAAACAAAATCATTTATAATATATATATATATAATAATTAAAAGTGTTAAAATAAATTTACAATAACGCGTTATTTATATTTATAAAGTATTCATTTATTTCTAAGATAATATGAATAACTTGCCAACGTGGGCTGGAAATGTTCAGCTCCGATCGCAGAACCTTTTCTTTTTTCTTTTTTTTTTTTTTAATGTCAATTCCACCTCAAATATGGGTCAGTATGCGGGATAAATCGTAGTGAAAAAAAAAAAGAAGACTGACAATTTCTAGAGACATTATGCATTCGTACATACTGACGTCCAAAACAACCATCCATAGAGACGTCACCAATTATTCGTCGTCAGATCATCGATGTGCATTCGGCTGCGTCGATTAAACCCATCATGAGCAATAGTCGCAACGTAGTCCTTAGATCCTGGAGCAGTGAACCGGAGGTGACTCGAGAAACAGCTGCATGTTAGTAACAAAGTAGTGGAGAATGCGAGGGAGAGAGGAGCTGTGAGACTTAAGTCGAGAATTGTTGGAGAAGCGACTATTATTGCCCGAACATGGGAATCGCGGAAAGATAATAGAGCCAAGGTTGTATACGAGATATATATATATATATATATATATATATATATATATAGAGAGAGAGAGAGAGAGAGAGAGAGAGAGGCAAATACAACCAACTGGACATCGAATACCAAGTACAAGTATGCGTGCGACGCTTGGCATTCACGGGGTCGAAGATATTCAACACCGACTCAGGCGTTTTATCGCTTCGTTTCGTGTATATGAGAGAGCCAAAATTATCCATCGACTTCATTGAAGGGAATGATAAGAGAGGGGCAGGGAAGGTGCCGGATTGAGAATAAAATGATGAAGCATCGTGTGTGTGCTTCGACTTTGTTTGAAATTGAAGATCAAGATGACGATTAATAAAGCTTTAGCATTTCGAATATTCTAAGAATTCTAATACTTTAATAACTCTGCATGCAAAAAATACAACAGCGGGTAAAATAAAACTGTAAAACTGTAAAAAACAAAGACTACCATTATATTAAAAAATTTTATAACTTCGCCCAGTAGATTATTTCAAAGGTTTTACTACACCAAATTTCAATAATTCAATTTAATCCTTATGCATTTCAACAAATCTTAAATACATGCATTTGAATATTAAAGTTCCTACCTAGTAAGTTTATATTCAGTATTCTAGGTAAATATTTAAATTTTGTATATTATTTACCTTATTATTAAGCGATTTTTTAACATTATCTGATATAATTATAGAAAAATAATCGCTAGAAAAATAGATATTCTATATCTATATAAATACGTCTAATATAAATATTTATACGAATATAATAGTATGGTTGTTCGTTTATTTAAATGTTAAACAGTGAAAATAAAATTATCTTGACCATCTGGAGCATTAATTAAAAGTCTATGCATAATATAATATATTTGTTTATTATGCTTTTTTAAATGAAAAAAAACAAAAACATCGAATGAATCTCAATATTAACAATACGTTAATACAATACCAATTTCATTGTTCCTTTAATAATTTGCTTTTTTATTCTTATTGTTAGTGAATCTTGATATTTTATATTCAATAAACATAAGTTTATGTCTTAAAATTGTAATATTGGGATTGTTAAATAAATAATTTTTCATTATTAAATTATTATAATATTTTCAATTGTTACATTGAGTTTATTTATGATAAATAAATATATATTATTTATATATATATATATATATATATATATATATATATATTATAAATTATGTAATTTATTATTCAGCACAATCTTAACAAGTAAGAAAAAGAATAAATTAAATTAAAGTTTTTTATCAATTAATGTTTTCATCATATTTATGCTTTTTTTTTTTTTTTTTTTTTAATATTTTAGTAATAAACTTTTTGGTTAAATTTCGGATTAAAAGTTTCAAATTTTTATTTTTTATTTCCAAATTGTGAAATTGTAGATTAGATCGTATTCACCAACCTTTTTCAGTTCATTATACATTGATTCATTTTTTACTAAATTGAAAAAATATGTCATGTTACATCTAATTAATTTACAAATAATGTATAATGTTTGTATACTAGTAGTCATAGCTTTTATACATGCGGAGTATGTATAATAGCTGCGAAAGTCATAAATTTTCATTAATTCATCTCACATATTTCTCGATCTCTTGAAAAATACCACATAACGTAAATATTTATTTATTTTATTTTCTGCTTGTGTTTGCTTTTTCTTGATTTCAATTTCAAATGAAAACTTTATGGCTTAAAATGACTTTGACATTAATGAGACAAATATTTTTTTTAGACAAGATATGTGTTATTTTTTACATAAATTATGAATGTATATTTTTTAAAAGCAGAATTATTCATTAGAAATTATTAATGATTATTAGATGATTATGACCAATCGTTAGTATTATATAAATTTCATTCAAATATTTCTACTCGTTTTATTTATTAGAAGGATACACTACTTTCATTGTATCGACAATCAATTTCCCAAAATTTTTAACTTGCCATTTTATATTTTCTTAATAAATATTTCATTTCATTAATTTCAATTTGTGCTATGGATAAGTATATTTATATTATGAAAGCAGAAGTATAGTTGGATAAGTGGCATTTAAAAATAACTAATTATGGTTTATTTAATCTCATGGTAATGAGAAAATAATAAACACATTCGTTACTAATCTGACATAACTCTAACTTATGTCTTTTTTGCATATAAATATAATTTAAAAATATAATATAAAGTAATATTTATTCACTGCATAATTTTGAAAAATAAGAGAGGATAATACACTTTACTTTATAAAATACTTATAATTATTTATTAAAATGAAGTGGTGACATAGAATCGATTGAAATCGAAAAAATTGCCATATAACGTATAACGTTGGAATAATTTTCCAATGATTTATTACTTGATATATGCATAGGTTTTATTTATAGTATTTTATATTTAAATTTAAATTTTACTTTAATAGCACAAATAATTAATTTAATAACATTAATTTAAATTACAAAAATGATACTCATCCGTATAGACTATAACAGTTATAACAATGCAGCTTCTGAAAAACTTTTTTTTTTTGTCACACTCGTTATGACTTGTTCAATTAATTGTCATCACTGTACTAGACTATTTTTACCATTACGGAAAAATAAACAAATTTAAAGAAGAGCTTAAATTAACATTAAGTTACGTCTACTAATGTCCTTTGAGAAATACCATTGCTTCTATTATATTATATCCATTATTATTTCGAAAAATTTTAGTCAGTAGCAGGATACCTCTGTTAAAGTCAGTCGTAAATACTTTAAATATTTTCCTTTTTACATGTTTTCGGAGCAGTAATTTAGATATACAAAAAATAATTTAAAAAAATTTCTCGGGCTACAATTCGTGCAAAATAATATACTTCTTACGTAAAAAATTTAACTTGTGTTTATTGCCTCGGATTTAAGTTATTAGTGCCAAGTATTTTACGTATGAATTAAAATTAAAAAACTTCAAATAATGTTTATTCATAAAATTTCGATGGTCGTTTAAAAACATATATTAATCAAATGAAAAATATCAAACGATCTATCACATATACAAGATATTTAATAAAAAGAAAAAATGGAATTTTTATTATTACATACGATATATGTACAGTTACATGGGTAATCATTTATGGACAATAAGACTCGTGAATAAATATAATTGTTAAATTTTATAATACTAATATTATTAATAAAATAACAATGAAAAAATATTGAGTTATTGTAAAATAATTTTATATTTTAATTTTTTAGAAAAATTCTCATATTGACGAATGCATGTAATCTAGAATACATACATTTTGTTTCTAAATATTTTTATATGAAATTTTTATAATGAATACTTTTATAAGAAATCTGTCGAATGGTATTGTCATTACAACGATTCAAAGAGATTTTTTTTTAATGACTTAAAAAGAGCTTTTTGTACATTCTTTGAAAACTCAAAGATACTTAATTATTTTGAGACGAGATTATTCAATGCTTATTTCACTTTAATTAAAAAATAAATAAAAAATAAAATAATACAATTAAAGAGTAAATAAATTATTTACTGTCAAATTTAAATGATAATTTTGATTTAGACATTTCTGATTATTAAGAATATCAGGTATTCTAAAAGATCTCTTTTCAAATAAATACAACAGTGGAATAAAATAAAGTCTACGAGACTTCTTTCTATTTAGAAGATATTTTCCTTCTGTGTACATATTCTGTGTACATCATTTTTTATAATAATTATAAAGTATAAAATTTTTATGTCCATATATGCAAATGTGTATGACAGTGTTTTGCGTGAATTGTGTGAAACTCGAGTACGTTTTATTAAGTAAAAGCAATGTAATATTTGTTCATTTCCCCTAAAACATAACTGATCCACAATTTGGTAACGATTTCCAATAAAATTCCAAACAATTGTGCTTGTTTTAATCAATAGCTATTAATAAATTTGCAAAATATTCAACTGATAATCCGCACGAAAAAGAAGCAATCAATTATTTCGACGCTTCTAAAACCTTTCATAAACATTTCAAATCCTTTTGACGCATTGCAAAGTAACAACTGCATATTATAATTTATCTAAAATTCGTTCTATCCTTATAAACATAATTGCTTACCTTATGAATTTTCAAGCTCCCTATTAAATATTAGAAATAATTATAATTCCAAATTTATTAATTAATACATTGCAGACACTTCAAACTCGAGGCAGAAATTGCATCGATGACGTGGAAAGTACATTGGGAAGATGTTATTGTCATGCCGAGCTCAAAGTTCAAAGCAGGTTCAATGTATTCATTAGCAGCGAACAAACAGCGTGGCAGTCAATTGGTAAATTTGAACTTTAAAATTGAAGAGAACATTGTAATTATCGTTTGAAAAAGATTTGTGTACCAAGCTGTAAATTTGAGATTTAGGGCTCTTTTGAGTTCAAGTGAGCTTGGTATAATCGATTTAAAGGTTAAATTAAATTGAATTCCTACCGATGGCAAATTCAACGACTGAAATAATTTTTCAAAATAATTGCATTAAATTTGCAAACATAGTTCAAGAATAAGAATACTTTTTATTATGTGATTTTCTTTTTCTCCCTAAAGAACTAATAATTCTTGGTCATCCTGATAATAGCTGGTTCTTACCTTCAAATGAAAATAAGTATTTTCTCTCAAAAGTAATTTATGGCTTTGCACAATATATAGTGCGAATTTATTACACGAAATGTTTGTTGTGTCTGATTTTATATAAAGAATCCGCGCACACGTAGAGAGAAATTTCCCCATTATTAAGATAGAGTTCGACTTTAAAATATTAATTTTATGTAATTCTGTCCCAAGTAAAATGCTTTAATCGAATAACCATCGTAAATTGTCTATAATTTTTATTAAGAACAATAATAAAGTTTGAAAAAATCATTAAGCAAAAAATTAAAATAATATTCTAAAATTATAATAAAAGAATCGATAATGTTTTTGTTTTTTATTGCTTATTGTTTAGAGCATAATATATAAAAACAATTTAATTCCTCTTGTTATGAATGGTATAATATACTGAAGAGTAAATAACATCTGTATTTTTTTACATTTTTTTATTATCTATTTTTGCACAAATTTGATTTAATATCTACGCTGTTCAATTAAGGATCTTCGTTTTTTTTTTTTTTTTTTCTTTTTTATCCTAGCGATTCATAAGACAATGTATTTAAGCCGTTAACTTAACTATTGTTTTATAACTCTTTAATTATTTAATGTACTTTCAACGAGTAATAAATACAATCAGTTAAATTTTCGTGCCTTTCTATAGAGTTCACGTTTCTCTCATTTCCTTTAACAAATTTTCCTATTTTCTGATAATTTACTATAGGCTCTGCTCGTCTATCCACAGATAAAATGTTTGGGGGGATCCTAACGTACCTATATAAGTTTCAGCGGAAGAAATAGTAAAAGTGCGTCTCGTAAAGCAGACTTAATATCTTTCCTTACTACGCCATACGCGAATGCAATAGTTATCGGAATTACAGAAGTAGCTCTCTCATTCTTTGAAGTTCTTTCTCTCTTTCATTCTTTCATTCTTTCTTTATTTTTTTCTTTTTTTATTTTTTTGGTTCCGTTTTTTACTTTCTTTTTCTTTATCCCCACACCTATTTCACAAAGATATCTTTCTGTTTTTCCATCTCATCCAGACGAATGGAGTCTCGTGTCTCCATTAAGTGCGCACAAGAGCGTCTCTATATCCTTAACTTTCTCGTAATAATGTCGTTTCATTTATTTGTTTCATCCTTTCTTTCAGAGCATATATTCCGAAGACAATATGAGTCTGCACGGTGGAGTGGATAGACGTTCTTTCGCTCCTACAGGAATTTATAAGGCAAGTTGATTACCACATTGGATTTGATCTCTCTTGTTTTTACGCAGCCCAGCTTTTTAACTGCGACGGAAAGTGACAATATGTTTCACAAAAAATGCGTAAATTCATTCATTCATTTTACGATATTATTTTCATGTATTCCGTTTCATATGTTGATTTCCATTCGAGTTATTGTTGCATACAAAAAACAAACAAACAAACAAACAAACAAACACAATACTGAATATAAAATTTCATAATGTATGGATAATTAGATTAATATAGTGACACAATGAAAATGTTATTTTCGCTTGGTGAATAAAGATTTATATTTCGTTAACAACATAGTAACATTAAAATGAACGAATATTTTTGTAGAAAAAAAAAATATAATAGAAATAACCAGTGTTTTATTTCAATAATTTATTTGATATTACTAAAATTGACGGACAATCTTCAAATTTTGAATTCATTAAACTCATTTATTGATTTTTTTATTTGAAAAAGAATATAATTTTCTAGTTTTCTATAGATATGCGAATAATTTTATCAATTTAAATGTAAATATTAATACGCCATTTTGTTTGAAGTTTTGCATGGATTTGTTTACGCATCGAGAGACCTTTGAATTTAAACGTTTATTCTTTTTATGATTTTTATATAATTACTCGATAGATACTATTAAATAGATTTTATATAAATTTTTTTCTCTTTCGAATACCATATATTTCTCTCTCTCTCTCTCTTTCTCTCTCTCTCTCTCTCTCTCTCTCTCTCTCTCTCAACACACACACATAAACAGACACAGACACACACACAGACACACACAGACATGTGTGTGCGTGTGCGTGCGTGTGTGTTTGTGTGTGTGTGTCTGTTCTCTGAATATTTTTTAAAAAGGTTTTTAAAGTTTAGTAAAATATTCTATGGTGGCACAATATTAATCTACGTGAGATTACACATTTAGAAATCATTTCTTTCGACCAATCTCATCCATCTATTAATATAACTTTCACGTTTTTCAGTTTTTGAGCAATGATGATTAATTCAACTATTATTAAATTATAACTTTATAATGAAATATGTTCGTTTATACGGCACAATGGGAATTTTTAGTTAATTTAAAAATTATCCTGTAATTAAAACGGTAAATCGATGTAATATCTTTTCAGATCTCAGTGCGCATTTATTATGATTTAATAATTTTCTGTTAAAAATGTTGCAGAATTCAAAAATTGCTATTAGGCCTATTCCAAGGAACAAAGTTGATATTTCACGTCCGCTTTTATTAGAGTTAAAAAGGGTAAGAACAATGTGATTTATTCCTTTATATTATGATTTTACATTCTTAGCGTTTATATTTCTCTTCTTTTATACTTTATTAATTTATCACCATCTGTATTTAGAATGTTAACGCTCTTCTCTTATACGTTAGTAGGACGGTGTTCATTTTATCAGCAATTCAATGCAAAGGAATTTTCTTAAAGTTTAATGTTTCGATGGTAATATGAAATAGAATATATTCTATAATTAATTGCAAAGTTAAAATATTTAAATAGAGCATAAATTACACTCTATCTTCTAAAGAATAGTGATTAAATACAATTTTTTAGGATAATCAATTCAACTGTTTTTGCTTATACACAGCATTTTAGTTGAAAAGTAACATTTATAATATTATTATAAAGTATCTCGGTCATATATTTGTTAAAGATAGATTTAATTTTGCCACGAGAAATGAAAAACGCACCTCAATAACATTATAATAACGTTCCTCTTCAAAATTCTAAATATTTATTAAATATAATTCAACTTCAATACCGATTATTCAATTTTTATAGAAATTTATAATGCTACATTACTTATTGTAAATAGTCAAAATCAAAATAATATAATCGAATAGAGTGATTATAAAAGCATTACTTTCCTGCTCCGTGTTATCCCCAACTAACAACGACTCATCAGTCCGAGCTTTCCCTTAAAATTCTGTCCATATAATTAATCACTCAGCTTTGAAGGATTTGCATATACAGTGACGACTGATTTCTGTTTTATGCTGCTGTCGTGACTGTCGCAGATGAAGGATCTCCAACACGATCATTTAGTGAGATTTTACGGGGCCTGCGTCGAGCCACCGCATTGCTGCCTACTCACCGAATATTGTCCAAGAGGTTCACTTCAGGTTTGCTATTCAAGGATTTTACTATATCATTCTATCCTTTCTGCTTTCGTGAATAAGCAATATCAATTTTTAACGTATAAAATAATTCTGTACCAATGATTAAACGAATATCGAAATGAAATTAATTCATCCCATTCCCGCTTACACGCTCCCCCCCCCCCCCCCCCCCCCCCCCTTCTCTCACTCTATTTTCCTCTCTCCCACCTGCTTTATAAAACATGTGTATCAAATTCATTATTCTGTAAATTTAATTTCAATCGAGTCGTTAAGATTTTACTTTCATTATTACATGAAAAATTAGTCCGTTTATGCACTATGATAATTTTCTGCTGAATATGCAAGCGACTCGAAACAAAGTTTTATATCAAGTTTTTGTAGAGTTCCCAAAGTTTTTAAATAAGAAAATTAATTAAACTTTTTTCCTATATCGGTCAAGATATTTTAGATGAAGGTTTCAGTTAATACCTATATAATTTGCTTACCAATTTTTCATTTGTATCCTATACTTTTATTCAACTACTTAAGACGTTAATCATATCTACACGATTAAAATGAACATTATTTACTCATTGTCAATGTAAAAAGAGTTGGACAACATTGGTAGGACTTTTATGAAACTATTAAGGAAAATTCAATTATACATGCCTGTCAAGTTGAAATACAATTTTTTACTCCCCCAGATTTTATTCCAATTCAATGTATTATTGATAAATGTAGATACAAAAAAGAATAAAGTTATTTTGGTTTATCAAAGAAAAAGAAATTTTCATTATCAGCAATTACTTGCACGTGCCTTTCATTCAATTTATAATATAGTTAATGAGAAAATTTAGAGCTTATAAGTAATTAATAATAATTTAAAGAATATAGGTACTCGAAGAATTTTTACATTTCATAATTTTTTTATTTATAAAAACTTCACCTACGCATGAAGTATTCTCTGATGTTATTATTGCGTACATCAAACAATTCAGTTACTTTAATTAAGCTTAACGGATAATATTATAAATAATAATTGGAAAAAGGGCTTTATATTAATGAAAATAAAAGCGGCTAGATATAAATAATTTATTATAGAATTTTACCTTCAAATAGGAAAAGAACTTTATTTTATTAAAGAAAAATGGGGAGCACGATAAAGGGATTTCTTTGCAACTTAACATGTCAATGTCAAGTTTAAGTGATCCGTTATAAGCTAAAAGAACCATAGTATATCAAATTTACTACTAACGAACATAGATAAATAAAGACAAAGGGGAGAAAGCACATCAAGGCATTAAAACGTAAAATTACTTTAAAAATTGAAAAATTTGATTTAGTAAGTGTTTATTTGTTTAAAAATTAAGTCACAAAATAAAATTATTATACGAAAAAATAAAAAGTTTACTTGGCATAATTAAAAGTTTTTACGTTTGTCGTTGTTATTATTGCTTTTTGCCATTAATTTGACTCTAAAAGCAATTTAATTAATATACATAATTAAAAATTTTTTTTTAGTTAAAAATTGACTTTAATTAAATTTCTTGTTGCAATTAATATTAAACAAAAGTTACATAATTGTGCAGAAATAATATTGTAAAATTTTGAGAATGTACAGTTGCAAGAGAGCAATTTTATTAGTATATAATGGGATTAGGGGCATTCACAATTTTCAAATTAATCTTATAAATCCAAAAACAATCAAAAGTCAGTAGTTGTCGAAAGAATTAAGCCGTACAGCTTCTTTAATAAAAGCTCGAAATTTCATATCGCGGTCTTGTTAATCCCTCATCCTTGTTTCCCTATTCGTTCATTCTCGTGCTCGTACGTACGCACGCACGCACGCACTCTCTCGCTCTCTCTCTCTCTCTCTCACTCTCTCTCCCTCTCTTCGCACTCCTTGTTACATTCTTTCGCACTATTTCTATCGCTCTTGTGACGTGGCACAATTAGATCTCTCTGATAGTAGTGCAAAACGACAGATCGACCACTTTCGCGATACTCTCCCTCTTATCCCGATGTCTTTTCCACAGGATATCCTAGAGAACGAGCAGATGAAGCTCGATCGAGTCTTCCGGGGTTCGCTGATCCACGACATTGTCCGAGGTATGGGCTACTTGCACGCTTCGGAGATTCGGAGTCACGGTAATCTTAAGTCAACGAATTGCCTCGTCGACTCGAGGTTCGTACTGAAGATCGCAGACTTTGGACTCCACGAGCTCAGGAAGCCACATCCCCTCGATCCGGATGACGATGCCAATAGTTACGCGTATTGGAGAAGTAAGTCAATATTAGTGGGGAAAGCGAGATGTCGAGACTCTTTTGCTAATTGTCGATTATGGATAGTACATATTATTACCGAAGGTTTAGGCCGAAAAAAGTAGCGGCATCGTGCTTAATATAATGAAATTTTACGTAAATAGAATGCTTTGCCCGAGCTTGCGTCACGAGCGTTGTGTTTATTATTGCACGCGATGTCGTTGAAGTAATGCCAACATCGAGCGTTTATTAAAATAAACTTACACTTGCACGCTCGAATAATATTTTAACTCACGAAATATGATGTTGTCATCTTAACGAATAGCTGCATTGTTACTTCACTTGTTTATCCAACGATGTCATTTCAACTAAATCCATGCAACCAACATAAATTGCACAAATATTCAATTTCGTAAGAATTTTTATTTAAATATTTCTTCTCTGAGATGATTTTAAAATTTTTACGAATCACGAGGCTCACTACGCGTTACAATATATTGAAAAATAATATCATCCACTGGGCCACGTACGGTTTATATAACATGCGATTCATCTGTCAAATATTATTGAAAATATGATACTTTTTATTGTAATTATAGAAAATCCACGATACGTTCACACGCATACGCACACGCGCACAAAATAGGCAGACTTGATTATTAAAGCCGTTATTGTTCAATTGTAAAGTATTTTCAGGCCTTTCAAAAAGCATCATATTATGAAAAATAGTTGCCGTCCTACAGCGTCTTTGTACTTACACTAATAATTTCATTAGTATTTTTTTTATGTATTAATTGTACAAATAACATAGAATTAATTCATTATATAAATTTTATATATTATAATTAAAAAATTATAATACTGTTGTTCAATAAACAACTGAGAATACGTCTCGAACATATTAATACAACTTCTTAATTGTTTTAGAATAATATAAGTTAATTGTAAAACCTGTTGAATAGGTAACTTCAAACAAGTACATAACTAGTTTATTTTATTCAAACTGATTTCAATTAATATAAAACTTATAAAAGTTCTTATCTATTTTTAATAAAATATAATTTTCTTAATTATCTTTTAATCTAAGCATTTTTATCAAATAAAGTAAGAACTTTGTTGAAAATTTCCCATACATTAGTAGAAATTTTTTTAAGTACATAATGTAACATATTGGAAACTTTAATAAATATTGCGTTAAATCGATGGGCTTACAAGACATTCAATTCAAAAATTCAATTTATTTTATTTATTAAATACGTCAATGTATTGAAATTAGAAATTCGAAACTTTTTTTTCTATTTTTTACTAATTTATATATATATATATATATATATATAAAGATGTAATTCAGTAATAATTGTAAATAGAAAATAATAATGAAATAGTCAATATTTGTTCGGATAAGGATAAAGTAATGAAATAAGCAGCCGAGAAAATAGATACATTATAAATTGTTATAAGTGAGTTAATAAATAAAAAAACATGATTTGTTATGAAACAAAATAAGACATCGTTTATTGGTAAAAAAATATAACATAATTTACATTCATATTATATAATTAATTTGAAGGTTACATATGTAATAAATTAGGGGCGACATTTTTTAGAGAATTTAATTTCAAATATTATGAAGTGTAGACCATGAAATTACACTCTTCTCGTCCTTTCTTCGTCAATTGCAATGGAACAACGTATACGTGATTTCATTCCAAAATTTAAAAATTACTTATACTATTTATATAGGATTGTTGTTAACAAAAATATTGAACAAGAAATTATTCAAACTGTATAATTTCATTTAATTTAAAAATACGGAAATGGTTCGTGTACGTCTTCATTTCTTTTATGAATTTTTATGAATTATAAAAATTTTTTAAACAAGAAATTATTGAAAATAATATGTTAATTTATAAAAAGTAGTGCACGTTGGATACGTTTATCTTCATCTCTCACTATGATGTACATCAAATGTTACAAAGATATAATACTTTAAGTATTTGTTTATCTGTTCGACTAAAATATTTACTTAAATATTATATGTTTGACAAAATTTTAAGGAAAATCATGTTTACAATTAAATAAAATTGAATGAAATGCTTTTTACGAATTATTAATTTTACAGACACAGAACTCAAAATACATGATGTTTTTATTATGCTTTGTCGATAATTGCAAGAATATTTAAACATCTAATATTCACAATATGCTGGATAATACACTTTTAATTTATATATTTTCCGTTTAATTTCCACTGTAATTATATGCTTTATTTGGCAAAATATAGGAATTATAATTCTTTTACATTGGTTATCAAATCGATTGAAAATACTATATTCTACCTTTCAAAGAGACCATATTTTTGTGTTGTTACTTTGATCACATTTTCTCTCACATACAAGATTTTTGATGTTATAAAATTCTTGAGGAAATTGCTATAAGAAAATATTGCGTCGAATGAAAATAAAAAGCGATTGAAATGATTTTGACAAAAAGATAGCATAGCGTTAGTCGTTAGAATGCCAATGAATGCATTCCTTTATTTTCCTTTCTTTTTCTTGTTTCTTTCTTCATTCTTTTTTTCGACTATTCAAGGAGTAAAGAAACTTGTTAATTTTCATGACTTCTGAAACTTCTACGAGTGTCGCTCCCTTTAATGAATAAAATATCTTGTAAAATCGATTGTCAAATTAAAGTGCAAATTGAAATAAAAAAGTACACGTTCGGAAATAACTTAGCGCTACAAAAGCATTCGACAAGGCAGAGAAAAGAACACGTCAACTCGTGTACCATGATATCATACCTTTTTATCTTCTCGTTTTATCGCAGTCCAAACAGAATATGAAATAACAATGTCAAAAAACAGACTGCTGAAGGCGACGACGATAGTCTCTCAAGTCCGTGGTTAATAAGCGCGTTAAAAGCCATGGAAAGAGGCTTAAATTTCTAATTTCGAGGTCCTTGATCACCGGGATCCCGGTGATGCGAGGATATTAAAATATAGAGAAGCGTTTACAGGATAAAATAACGGATCCACGTGGTTGATTTTCAGAGCAGCTGTGGACGGCTCCGGAACTGCTGAGGACCGAGCGCAGGTCGGCCGAGGGTACACAAAAGGGAGATGTCTACAGCTTCGCCATTATCGTCCACGAGATTGAGATGCGCCAAGGGCCGTTTTTCTTGGGCACCGCCAACGATCTATCTCCCAAGGGTGAGTCTTGCCTCTTTTCCACACTCCTCCTCATTCCCCCCTCCCCCCTCCCACCACCAATCCCCATCCCCATCCCCATCCCTCAACCAACCATCCGCAAACCCCGCTCACGCACGCACACACGCCCTCTCTCTGCCGTTGCTTTCTTTCTCAGCATCTCTCTATCGCGCGAGCTCATTTATTTCCTTTTTCCTTATACCTGGAAGATGTATTCGACGACGAGAGTTCGGTTGCACGTGCTTAGCATCGGGGAGAACACGTCGCGATAAAGGGAGACAGAAATCCTTATTCCTTCTTTTATTTATCCATGCGATTCGACTCGTGAGAGCAAACCGCATGGTACTCCCGCACGTCGACACGTACCTTCACCTTCATACATTTTCTTAACATTTTCTTTAAACTGTTATACCTTGAGTTTGGGCAATTTTAATCCATTTTATCCAATCAGTGGCGAATATTCGGCGCTTTTAGAAAAGTGTCTTTAGAATCTGATACGCTGTTTGATAAACAAAGACACACTCGATTTATTCGATTTTAAATAGAACTTTATATTTAGGAGATGATTTAGCCCGACTATATCATCATTTATTGTGTTGTCAAGATTAGATTCGTTTCTTTAAGTCTATTAGACATTTCGATCTTATAAGTACTAATCGGTAAAATTTCAAATAAGCTTTACTTGGATTATTAATTTCATATTGATATTAATGTAGAGATTTTTATACGCTGGCTAAAGCAGAATACGTAAAGATTTATTGAAGCTTGTAATCGAAATTTTATCATTTTAAATACTTATTGCCAATGGTCATTATATTTTTATTAATAACAAATGATTATCAATGTTGTATATGCTTGGAAAATGCAAAGTAAGGGAATGACGTGAATTTGAATCCCATCGTTAATTACAATTATTTATGTAAAAGGTTTTTATTATCCACATTTCATATTACTAATATTACTATTACGAAATTATTATTAAATTCAAAAGTCAGCTGTAATTGTAAATAAATCCATTCAAATCGTACACGTATGCCTGTATACTGTGATTATTTATAGATGAATATAATCTTGGTGGCTTTTCACCTTCCACGTGATCTACTCAATGATCTTTTATCTACTAACTCGCTACTAAACTTTAATATAGTGCGCTTTTATTTTATATTTTAGCTACGTACTTTCCCCATCTTATTCTGCGTGATTTTATCAGCCTTATAATAGAGTAAAGTATCGAGTTCCAGTGTGTTCGTATTATAAAATTTTTACATTTTCCATTTTCTTCCCTTATCGTTATGCAATTTATTAATATAATCAATTTATTTTTATATTCTCGAAATTCCTTGTATCTCATATAGATCTCCAGTTTATACGGAACTTTTAACAATATTAGGCATATTATTCTGTAAGGTGCAATTAATAATCAAATTCAAGTGTCATATATAAAAAAAAAAAAAAAAAAAAAAAAGAGTAGTGTCTGAATTTGGTAAACAAACGATTTGAATTTGTGCTAATAGTATGAGTTGCTACATGAACATCATTGTAATAAAAACTTATTTTATAATTCATTGGTAAGACGATATTTCCAGTACTTTAATAGATTCTACAACTTGGCAAAGTAAAATAAGTATTGTTAAACGTATATATAATTATATTAAAATCCATTGAACATTTAATCCAACGTGTAATAAGTATTCATTTACCTGGCTTTTATTTATTTGCAAAAGTTTAATTTTCTTATACCATTTATGTTAAGTGAGTTAAGTATTATCGACATAAAACAAAAATTATTTTACAATTAAATGAAGAAATATTCCTATTTCTTTCTTGTTATCTCAAATCGAAACACCTTTGTTTTATAATAAAATTAATAGTTTTCTCATGCTAGTAGCTGTACCGTAACTTAGCTAATTTTCACTTTAAGAGGCATTTCCACTGTGATAGGCAAAAAAAGTGATGGATATTCAATCGTTTTGTACGAAAAAAATTCTAGTAACCGAAATAAGATACCATTACAATATTGTACAATTTTTAATAATGTAAAATGATTTTTTTTTTTTTTTTTTTTACAATAAATATAATAGTTTCTGTTAATTAAATGACAAATTAAGGAATATATGAAAAAGAATATACTCGGAAATAGACGCTTAAATACATGTAAATTCAGTTAAAAACAAAATTAAGACAATATTTATTATTAGTGTATTTCTGTTATTCTTTTACCAATGAAGCTATGTTAAATTTAAATTGTATATGAGAAAATTATAGTTATTTAATGCAAAATTTTATATGTTTTCATTAATCATTAAATATAATTAATTACATAATAAATAATTAAATACATAATTAAATGTGAGTAGAAAAATTCGATATTTTATTTTAAATACAGAAATTTACGTATGAAATGCTTTAAAATGAGTTCTTAATCCTTTGAATAAATTTTTTTTTTGTTTAATTTTCGTTTTTTGTTTTTTCAATATTGCAGACGATAAAACGATTCTTTTAAATTTTAAATTTTTACAACACATTGTTGGTACATTGAATTTAATTCAACGGCCAAGTATGTTTGGAAGCTGCATGCATGAATCTTGACATATCATATTAACAAAAATCAAACAAAAAAACGAACTTTAATGAAATGCACATTCAAATGGCTCCTTATTGAAATTATCAATTATAATAATATAGTTGCTAATTTTTGTTGTTGTCGTTGTTATTGTTAATTAGCATCAATATTTACAATAATAATCTTTAATTATAATTACGTATAAAATGTGAATATTTTAAGTAAATAGATTTAAATAAACACATAGCTATAACTAAAATATTAAATCATTCCTATAAATTTTTGAAGTTAATTTGATTTTTGTTCCTGAAAACTGAATCGATGCTGGATTGTTTCAATTTATAGACTATAAAATAATTTAATACCAAGTATTTTATTAATCTTAAAAATTAGTGATCCTCATTAAGTACATAAATTGAATCGACAATTTCATTTCATTTTTATGGTTTTATTAATTCCAAATTGGATATTATTAATAAGTACCACTTCGTAATCCATTATTTTGTAAAAGTTGATATGGTTTTAATATCCTACTCCTTTCATAAGTATTGAATATTTCACTAATATATTTATCATCTCGAAAATGATGAAATGTAATTATATTCAACGATCCTTCCAAACTTATTCACTCCAATAAGATCTAAAGTCTGTCTATCAAGTGTACGCCTACGCGTTCATGGTCACCATTATTTTCATTTGTAAATATAATTTTTTATATTTCGTTCTGATAACTTTAACGAGAGATTGCTCAAAATACTTGAATATGCATAATATTATTTATACGTCTCGCTTAAATTAATTTGTCTTATCTTCAAGCACAGTATTTCGAGGGAATCGAAAAAAAGAATATTTTACTTACGAAATATTTTACTTTAGAGGGATCTATGACCGTACTTGGGTTGTTTGCCTAGAAGACTAAACTTTACCACTCTAAGCTCATTATACCTACATTCATTTTCATTTGGACATCCAGGAATAGTTTTTTATATTTCCAGCTGAGTTTTATATTTGAAAGTTGTACCCCAAAAATGTAATATTAGAATTCAGCAAAGTAATTGCAGAATCGTAACATTGAAGTTTACTATTATTACTCGAACATTTATTTTTCAGTTTTATTTTTGAAATGAAAGTCGAATGAAACTTATTTTAAATGAAAAATTGTACGACATAAATGTATTAAAAATTCCAATATTGTCGATCAAATAATATCTCTTATTTATGAATTTATTTAGTTCGAAATTATTTCAAATGCAAGAAAATTCGTTAAAATACTATTTAATTTAAATAATAAATTCAATATCAATAAGCAATAATAAATGTTTTTTATATATTGTATTAAATTTCAAGTATCAGTATATGTCATTTATTAGTGTTTGGTCGTATCCTTATTTGTGATTTGTACTATTGGATATGTTCTTCTGATTAAATGATTAAAAAGGAAGGAAACATTTTTATACAAATAGACAGTAGTCAGTGTTGAAGAGATATCTTCTTACACTACACCTGACTATCTTAAATAACGAATAAATCGTAGAATGTACGATTCTATTGATTTGATATTTTTATTTTTATTTCTTGTGTGTGTGTGTGTGTGTGTGTGTGTGTGTGTGTGTGTGTGTGTTTCATTAGCATATTCACAAGTCTTGCACTGAAATGCTTGAAATTTAATCGAATAATTTATTTATAAAATAATACAAAGCAAAATTTCAAAATATTTTCATATTACCATTAAGGAAATTAATATTGATAATAATCATGATAATATCATAGTCTGAATTGGAGTTAGTAATTGAATAACTTTATATTACATTGGGTAAATGATTTTTGCAAGTCATGTTATTCGTAATTAATTGCAGTTGTTTAAAAATACTAATCGCCATTTTCAATAAATAGCAGAATATTTTGTGATTTCTAACACTTCAAAATATTTCTATTTTTCTTTAATTAACAACAAAATTATAATCTATTCTTCATATATTTCTATTATTGATTCAATACATAAATTTAATTATTGGCAAGGATAATTTTCCATATAATAAAAGACGTTACATGTTCATAATTCAATCATTTGTAAAACTTCAGTATGGTTATTTTATTGCATATATGACAATTTCATATTCCCTATGAAATTTTAAATAAAACCACATAGAGATTGGATGCTATTATTGATTAATTGTCATTCCGAAAATTTCAAGTTATATTTCATGTTATTTTCTTTGATTTATCGGCATGCATAATGAAAATTATGAACGCATTTATATAAAAAAAAAAAAGTCCTACAATATTTTCTCCAAAGAATCTGAAATATCTTAACGTAAAAAGTGAAATTTAAATAAGTAATATATCATTATTAGAAATACCTTCGGCTTGTTTGAATATACGTGTTTTTCGTTACAATTTGTTCAGCGATTATTAATGAATCCGGCACTTATCTTTCTAT